ACTAGACAGAGATGTAGACAGAGAAACAGAGACTAGACAGAGACCTAGACAGAGAGACCTAGACAGAGAGACAGACTAGACAGACACTAGACAGAGTGACAGACTAGACAGAGACCTAGACGGAGAGACAGACTAGACAGAGACCTAGACAGACACTAGACAGAGTGGCAGACTAGACAGAGACCTAGACAGAGACAGAGACAAGATATAGACCTAGACAGAGACCTAGACAGAGAGACAGAGACTAGACAGAGACCTAGACTAGACAGAGACCTAGACAGAGACTAGACAGACAGAAACCTAGACAGAGACCTAGACAGAGAGACAGACTAGACAGAGACCTAGACAGAGAGACAGAGTCCAGAGACAGAGACTAGACAGAGACTTAGACAAAGAGACAGAAACTAGACAGAGACCTAGACAGAGACAGAGACTAGACAGAGACTAGACAGAGAGTAGACAGAGAGATACAGAGACCTAGACACACAGAGACACAGATGGACCCAGACTTAGACAAAGAGACAGAGACCTAGACAGAGATACAGACCCAGAGACACAGAGACTAGACAGAGATAAAGGGAGACAGCGACCTAGACAGAGAGATGGAAACTAGACAGAGAGACAGTGTGAGTAGGTTTGGAGGGGGGCAGAGGAACGGAGGCCAGACTGAAGAGTCAAGAAGGCAGCAGAAATGCGGTCACTGACAGTCAGCGGGGGTCCTGGAGGGGCGGTGGCTGGGCTCGGGGAGGGGGTGAAGGTGCGCTGTGTGTTGGCGGGGTGGAGGGAGGGTAGTAATATGTGAGATGGGGGCCAATCTGGGGGCAGCCTGGGCTGGGAACAGGCTTTGTCTCCCCCTTAGAATGCGACCTCGAGGGCGGGATCTGCTTTTTTGGTCTTCGTATAGTGCATGGTACACAGTCGGTGCTTAATAAAGGCCGTGACAGACTGATTGATTAAAATCCGACTTGACGCTTCGTAAACGACCAAGAGCGTCAACACTAGTAAAATGGGGACAATAACGCTCTCTCCCCCGAAACCGACCAGACACTGCACAGACACGCAGCGCCACGCCCCCCCACCCCGGGGTTGGGCAGCTCTGCTGCGCATGCGCTTGCTCTTGCGCTTCCTCCTCCGCCTCCCTCGGCCCGGAGCGAGGCTGGAGTGCGCCGGCACCGGCCTCCGTGAGCATGCGCAGGAGCGGGGCACCGAGGACCGTCTCAATGAGGACACCGGGCGGCCGCTCCGGAAGTGCCCTCGGCGAGCCGGAAGTACCCGTCTGAGGCGATGGCCGCCCCCTGAGCTGCATCCGGAGCCGAAGCCGGACCGGAGTGGGAGCGCCGCGGTGAGGACGAAGGCGGGGCGGGGCCAGGGGGCGGGGCGCCAGGGTGAAGGGGGGATGGGCCGCGTCCCCCCTCCCTCTGGAGGCGGCTGGGCTGTGCACGGATCCCGGGGCGCTGGAGGGCAGAGCAGCAGCCCCTGCCTCCCCTCGAGGAGCTTCCGCTCCAACGTGGGGGCCAGCAGGTGCACGCCCCAGGGCGGGGGGCATGGAGGCTAGGCCCCTGCCTTGACAAAGGAGGAAACTGAGGTCTGGACAGAGCAGGTCCGGCCCGGGGCCGAGCTCGGGGGGCCCTCGCTAGTTCCCAGGGACGTTTGGAGGGGGGGGTCAGGAGACCCCCTGCCGGGCCGGGCCGGGCCGGGCCTCTTGCAGGGGTCTCGGGGGGCGCCGGGAGCCTGAGGCCGCCTTCCCCGCAGGGGTCCGAGCCAGAGCCTCCTGTCCGGCCTGTCCGGCCGCGTCCTGCTCCGGGAGGATGAAGACGGTGCTGATGGTGGCCGAGAAGCCGTCCCTGGCTCAGTCCATCGCCAAGATCCTGTCCCGAGGTGAGGGGGGGCGGGGCGGGGCCGGGAGGGGGCTGGCGGCTCCTCCCCCTTCTGTTCGCGGGCTCTGGGGACGCTCCCCCCACGTGGGCCCCTCCCCCACTTGGGCCGCCTCCCCCCACGTGGGCCCCCTCCCCTGTCTGTTCTCCAGCTCTGGGGACGCTCCGCCCACGTGGGCCCCCTCCCCCGTCTGTTCTCGGGCTCTGGGGACGCTCCGCCCACGTGGGCCCCCTTCCCCGTCTGTTCTCGGGCTCTGGGGACGCTCCGCCCACGTGGGCCCCCTCCCCCGTCTGTTCTCGGGCTCTGGGG